AACTGCCAAACTATTTAAATTGCACACCATAGTTGCATCCACCACAAGAGAGTATGTCTCTTCATAATTGATGTCAGGTTTCTACCAGAAACCTCTCACGAGAAATTGTATTATATCTCTCGCAATTTCCATACGCGTTTGCACAAAACCTATTTGCATCCCATTAGTTTTACATCTTCAGGTGTAAGGACTTCTGGTCCAAAACTTATACCAAATAGCCTAATGCTTTCTTTTATATTGGCCAATATATATTTCTCTGCATGCATCAATAGACTTTTACTTTTGATCCTCTTTGTATCTATCACGTTCAGTGCTGCAGCATAATCAAAACCCTTGTCGACAATAAATACACTTCGGTTCCAACTTTTTTCATACAAGCCAATTAATTGAGATCTCTTCATTTTAAAACATTCAGGTACCTACTATTCTTCTGGAACTATGATCTCAATTTTATGACCTGACTCTTCTAGAGCTATTTTATCCTCGAGTTTACCATCTTAATTTATAGCTCCTTCCTTTCTCGAGGATTTTTATCCTTGGAACCGATTGGTCTATCACGCTTCATACGCTCGTTTAGACTCATTAGATTATCCAATATGGACATCAATTTGTATTGGAGCATTCACAACTGGGCATTTGACATAATCACTCCTTTTAGTGAGTAAAAAGGCGTTTGGCAATCAATACGTTTTTTTCCTCCATGAATCACCATATGAACTTCAGGTTCATGTTTCTTCGTTTGAGGATCAAAATGAGATGATGATTCCAACTCACATCTATGCCCTAGTGTTTACTTTTCTCCCCCTTAACGTTCGAAAAGTAATTCATCAAAATGATGATATTAGCAAAAAGAGTCATGAACAAATCTCTCATTGCAATGGACACCATGTCCAACATAAGTTCTCATGGAACTCATAACGTGTTGTGGTGGATCAATTGGGATGTATTCTGCACACCCAAATTTTCTAGCATTTTAAATGTTTGGTCCCTGACCAAAACCATTTGTATGAAAGGGGAGAACTTATGATAACTTGTTGGCTTCATGCGAATTAATGATATCATATGCCTCGATAAGAGATCGATAGACTTAGTTTGTTCTCATAAGAGAAGTTCTGTTTGATTGGATAATCATCAAAATATATCCATCATTCGGCAACTAATCTCGCAAACATCAGGTTGCATTTAGATAACAGACATATATGATGATATAGTTGATGAATCAACCAAAATCATAAAATTCATATATGATTTGCACGGTGAGTGTATTTTTCTGCATACACTTTTATAAAATCTCAACAAATTCAATTATTTTCACGAGTATATTCTCCTCGAGACCATGTATCACATAATCAATCTTTTGATTGATGAATTCTCTGAACTCTCACTTAATTTCCGTATGATATCTCAATCATTTTTGCATCTGTATCCGGGATGGTATGACCGGACATGCCAAAATAAAAAGTTATCCGATCTTGCAAACTTCTGGTTTACACCTTCATATGTACTAATATACATGTAGTACAAATTTCTCCAGTGAAGTATATGTTCTCTTATAACACATTTCTGATGCAATATAAATTATGATATTCTTTTCTGCGAATATCTTCATAATTCGGTAATGCATCTTCAACTGAGAGTTTAGTTCATTCACGTCTCAAAACATTAGCTCTTCTGGAGCTTTCACATACTCTTGTACTACATTTTGGTCATTAGGCACCTTTTGATTTCGGTGAACTATTGTAAGCATATACATAGTGATAAGAATATTTACATACTATTAATATCACCAATATATTGTTTAGTTACTTCAAGTAACAAAACACAATCTCTTCCGGAGCTTTTTCTTACTTTCATACTATATGATATAATACCAGTAGTGGCTTTTGCAAATATTCATTCTATACAAAAGTATACAAAATAATAATAATAACATCAATATATATGTGTTTCATTACACATTTCGACATACAGAGGTTATAGTATATGATCATGACTTTTGCTACATGAATTCTTGTGTCATCCTCATTTATAATAATTTTATCTTTCACTTCCGGTGAAAAGAAACATTTGTTGATTGTCGTTATCCAAACTTCCGGTGTATTTTTTTCCCCATCGCAATGGTAACTCATATTCTGACATTTTTGTTACCAGATCCACTTCTTTCATTTGACACATTTTTCTTCATTTTTCCACTTCGGGGGAAAATGAGATCTTTAGACTTTCATTTCTCTATATGTCCAATGTAGCAATCGATAAGTCAACTCATATGATTTTGCTACAACAGGAGCAATTTTCATTATCTGATAATGTCCAAGCACAAACTCTATGTTACAAGATTGACAAATATAAAATAAGTTCATAAAATAATATGAACAAATAACAAGATCAAATAATCTCTCAAAGACAATGAGATATATAAACATACTAACAAGAAATGACATGAAAATTTGCATACCTTGATCGTGTTGTGATCTTACTCAAGTATATGTGATTATGTAGAGAGACAATGACCAACCATTACTTTGGTAGAGCTTCGTGCTGATAACGTGTTATGAAATAACAAGGAAGAGGAACATACACAAGAGTAAGAGTAGAGACACAAGAAGAGAGGGGGAATAGAGCTTTCTTATTCATATCTTCCTTAGTACAAGGAGACCATCTATTTATAGGCACACATCACATAACCTCTACATTCCTACAATCAATATACATGAATGTGAGAATGAATGTGAAATAGAAATGGGGTGGGGGGTTACATGTAACACCCAATTGTGCAACTAATGTGTCATATGGAGAATAAATATAAGGAGATGAGTTACATAGAACTTGTAACATACCATGGAGCATCTAATGTTGGTCATCCATAATAATAATAATATTTTCATAACATGATAAGATTTTAATATAACATCGATAGTATTATTGATAAAGTTGATAATATTATTAATAAAGTAATTTATGGTAGGTCGGATCAATTTGGTTGATCATGAATTTAATAACGTTGACTGGAAATATTAACAAGACACTTGTAAAAATTAATCTTTTGATGACGTTGATATTATTATTGAAACGTTAATAATTTGATTACTAACGTAATCTAAGAATGTTGATAGGTCGTACATAGCTCGGATCAGTTTGGTTGCTCGCGATTTTAATAACGTTGGTGAGCGGTTTGTCATAGCGATGATATCACCGGTTAATAATTCAAATAATATAGTTAGAAATAGTCACATGGTCGGTTAATAATCTATAATAAGATGCATTTATAGCGTGGTTCAATATAATTAAAATTAAATATTTAATGGGATCAATTAGCATGATAACCCTTCTAAACGGTTGGAAAAATGACACTCCTATTAATTATAGTTACTTTTTGTATTAAATTCGTGTTGCATTTAATAATCTTTGAAAATTAAAAACTCATCTTAATTACATTCCTTTTTTTTAACTACTATTGTATTGATACAACTACCATTACTCCTGTATACTGAATTCATATTAATTACGTTCCTTTTTTGGAACTACCATTGTACTGATACATCTACCATTGCACCTGTACACAGATATCATTGCACTGATACAACTACCAGTGCACTGAAAAAAGAAAAGTAATTAATATGTGTTTTTAATTCATACAGATTATTAAATGCAACACAAATTAATTACCTTAAAAACCTATAATTAATAGGGGGTGTCATTTTTCCAACCCTTTTAGGGGTAGGCATGCCATCTCATCCCTTAATTTGTTAATAACGGGGAGACTTGAATAATTGTCAACAACATATTTAATGATTGAATGATTGATCATTGTTAATGTTATATGATTTACGTTGAAAAATGATGAAATGCCATTAATAATAATTTTGTACACAACCAACAAATGATTTGGAAAGAGCTGATAATGTTTTGTATTTCGTTAATAATACATCGAAAATGTTTAATGATATCTGGCATAAACGTCGATAAATATTGAAATATTGATAATAAAAGATTTAGTAAACATCCTAAAATTTTATAGGAAACGTTAATAATGATGACTGTATTTTGTTAATGATATTATGCATAAAGTTGATAACGTCAAGTTACATTGTTTTTTTTATGAATCGGAAATTCTATTTCATCAAAAATAGTGCGGACAATAACCTTGCCAGCTAGTTTTGGGTCTTAAAGAGTCTCATAAGACCTGAATACAAGAAACTACCAAATCTAACTAGTAGAACCTCAAGGTAAGAAAACAGAAGCAGAGATTAGTGCATTCTCAACCAGAACCTCTGAGCGAACAGCTCCCAACCCAACAACGTTACCTCCATCTTCATCACCCTCACCAGAACCTCAACAGTCTTCTTCTTAGCCCCAAAGGCTCGATTGCATCTTTCTTTCCATAGATGGCTGACACGCTAAAACACAACACCTAACAATGGCCAAGTGTAACCAATGAAAGGGACTGCAGTAACAGGCAAGTTTAATTATCAACCCGGGGTCTAGATCTACTGCTTACTCCGTGATTCTCTATTATCTAGCAAACTAGTTCGAATGATTGTTGTGAAAAGTAAAAAGCAACAAGAAAGCAGTAAATTGTTCGGGTTTCTAAAGCAGGTAAGAGTCACTCGGGATTGAGTCCCCATAGCCCCTTAGTTAGGTTCAATTGCAATTCCCTGGGTTGATTTACTGTTGATTAGACTGCGGAAGATCCGACAGTAGCTTGGAATCTCTTAAGCTGACCAAGCCCTCTCAGTCTAACTACCCGGCAGACGACTAGTCTTCACCGGGATAGAAAGCTGAGGCTATGAACTCCACTACTGGCGTTAAGAACACCAGTACAAAGCAGTAAACTGGCTAACTCTCGTATAACCAATCTCCTACTATCGAATGAAGAGGCTCTAACAACCTAATCAGATTCTATCTATCTCAGGTTGAAGCAGAAATTGAGAAAAGCTGATCAGACTCAAATCAATTCAATAAACATGCGTCATTCGATTAAAATCAAACAGTAATATCATCCCAAGTCATTACAATCAAATCCCTAACACAAGGAACTAGGGTTCTTCATACCCAAGTGAGAGAAGGGTTCTACTCCATAGAGAGAGAAGAGAAAACAAGAATCGGATTAGTCATACTCATAACGATGAGGATAATCTACTCCGGGACGATGATTTCCACTCCTATGACGATCTCCAGGCTCGATTCGATGAAATCCAGCTCTAGGATAGCTTCTAGGATGTGTTCTTCGCACTTTCTCTCTCTAGGGCTCTGTTTTTGCTCTGAAAACACGACTCTCTCACTTTTGGCTCGGATTAGGCTTTAAAACCGGCTTTCCCGAGTTGCACGGCCAGGTGCACGGCCGTGCACTACACAATTCTGGCCGTGCACCCTCAAACGCACCGTATCAATTATTCGGCCTTCATCCACCTTGCACGGCCAGGCGCACGGCCGTGCAATCTTCAGGGTCTGGCCGTGCATGGCCTCGACATGAGGTGCACGGCCAAATGGCTCAAGTGCACGGCCGTGCAGCCTCCTGGTCTGCCCGTGCACTCCCCAAAAAGCTCGCCCTTCGTCCGTTCTTCGTCCAATCGACCCCAGACTCGCTCCTAAGCCTTCATTCACGTACTAGGACCTGAAATAACACAAACAAGCACAACCTAGCGTGAAATCGGCCTAAAACACGAGAATCAACACCTCATACGGTGTAAGTATGAGGGTAAAAACATGTGTAAATGACGGTCTATCAAACTCCCCCACACTTAACCGTTTGCTTGTCCCCAAGCAAACCAAGTCAGACACTAGGTAAGCTTACATATTTCAATCAACCAACATTGGGGACAAGTCATAAAGGCACAAAACACGTGAATCGCACTGGTTCTCAAACATCAATACATGCACAACCTCACTAACAACCTGGACAACCACCACAAAGGACATTCGAGTGCAGCAAATCGAGTAAAGGAAGAGTCCCCCTTCTGTTCACTGGCCAACCTAGACTTGATTCAACCACTTACTCAAAACAGTCAACTCATGCATCCAACTCAAGACATCAGAATAGAGACCGAGCAATCTAGGTCCTCACCGGGGTACAAGAGCATATAGAAAATGAAAATGAATCACTCACTCTCGACCAGTGGGGTCAGGACAATTTGATGCGAAAGATGCGCATGCTATTTCTCTCAATACCTATCATCTCTTCACCATGATGGCAGCCTCTAAATGCTAGAGTTCACATATGGGGTGTCACCACTAACTAATCAGGAGGTCTTAGACACAGGTTCAAATGACTGGCTAGGGTCTTGGACATGGGGAAAAGGCCTTTTAGGTGGTGGAAGTATTCATAGCAAAAGGTTCCACATTTTCCAAACACACAAACACAGTCAAACAAACCGGTATTTTCTTTCTGCTATTCTGCATTACTCAATATCTTAAGAGCACAAGAGCGAAGGAGGCATAAACATCAGCATTTCCAAGCCAGACTGCTAAGAAACACTGCTTACTGGGAATTATTCAGATTTTTGGCAGTGGCTCTCTTTTGCTTTCAATTTTTTCTTTGTTTTTCTTTCATTTTTCTTTTCATTTCTTAAGAGAGCCACCACTTCTGCATAAATTTCAAACACCTGCCCAACTTTTAAGCACTACCTCCAACACTCACATAGACTTAAGCAGAAACAGCAGAGAATATGTAAAAACCACTCTGTGGAACCTTCTAAAGGATGCAACAAGGGTGATTTTTTTCATTATAGACCAAAAGAAAGGATAACACACGGCTCAAAGGGGCTGACTAGGGGATATGACACATCAGGACAGTCAGTTTTGGGCGTGGGCTAATCCTATGCCCCCATCATCTTAGCTAGTGACAACGTGAATGCTACACATCATGGAAGAGGGATCTATCGCACAAGAAAGAAACGAGCAGGCTCAAATCTCACATGGCTACCTATATGCTCTATCTCACATTCCGATACCCTGAACTAGATGCATAAACGACTGTCAAGAACAAGTAATCAGATCAAGTCAGATCAAGTCACAGTTGGCAAGCAAACAGTTGAAAAACTGAACCCCTACATTGTTCTACTGCACATCTCAGTCCTCATCATAGGTTGTCCTAGTCGCAAACAAGTTGTCATGCATTAATCCGAAAACCAATCAATTCATCCATCAAAACACAGTGCCAATATGATCAAACAGCAGTACTTGGAGCCCTGAAATCGTAAGATTCGGACAGCGGACTAGGCTCCAAGCACCATCATAAATATTCCAACCGATACAAAGCATCCCCCCACACTTAAGCACGACATTGCCCTCAATGGAGTAGAGGGAAAGAGAAGGGGAACGAGGTTACCGGGTAAGAACACTGCTGGGGGACTGGAAGTGGACCAGTCAGCGGGGCTAGCATCAGCAAAACACACTGGGTGATAGAAACCATAGTTCCAAGTGGATAAACCGACAAAAACAAACAAAAGAAAAACAAACCTTGGTGGGGTTGCCTCCCCACAAGCGCTTCTTTTACGTCTTAGCTAGACGGTGGCTCCTAGGTTTCGGTCCACCCCAAAACCTCCTTGAAGTTGAGGTTCTCATCGATGATGTGGAGTCTCAAGTCACAAGCAAGTGAAGTGATAGGTGATGAAGACGGCTCGTGACCTTGAGGAAGATGAAGTCTCCACTCACGAGACCTCTCCTTCGCATCTGCTCTTGTCTCATTGCCCCAAACCAGATAAGATATATTCGATTGACCACCATCGTATCCACCAAGAGGGATTGATGTTGATGTGGTCTTAGTTGGGCAAAGAGACACTGCAAATGGGTCCTTGCCAAGCAGCTCCTCGAAGTTTGGTGGAGATATCAAGTGTAACATAGGCTCGGTGCAAGCCTCTTCCACCTCAACTTCATCCTCAGCCTGGACGGCAATTGCTTCCACAACCCCCCTTCCTTCTTCAAAATGTGGTCTCTCCCCTTGGAAAAGATCAAGAACTACCTCTTCTTTACTTTCTTCCTCATCCTCCACAACTTTCTTCCTCATCCTTGCTCGCTCTTCTTCTTCTAGAACAGATTGGAGAGCAAGTTGCCAAGCAATTTCTTTCATGAGATCTTCTTGCATCTCCTCACTCATGCCCGCCTCTTCAAAGCTCGGTGTGGGATGTGGGAAGGTGTGGTCGGCTTTGATAGGACATTCTTGATCATGATCATCACGGGAGCTCTCCGGGACAACTTCATTGTGCTCCACAATGTCCTTGTAGCCTTCTTCTTCCTCCTCCTCTTCTAGTATGGTAGCAGAAGGGTGATCTGGAGCAGGTTGTGCATAAGCTTTCTCAAGATCCTCGAGGCTCTTCTTTATGCTCAGGAGGGTCTCCTCTGTTTCACGGTAGGAGAACCCAGTTTGGGCATTGTCTGGGATATCCATATTTGGAAAGGATGTCTAAGGTACTCGAGCAATCTGGTCCACGAGAAGCCTCAAGTGATAGTTTGGATCTGGATGATGGAGGAATTCTTCTTGATAAGGAGATTGTTCTTGAGGTTCCCAAGGGTTTGGTTGTTCTCCATAGAAGGGGGGTTGGTACTGACATCCGAATCCATATTCTCCTCCTCCTTGATTGCTCCAGGAGGTCTCGGGGTAATACCACACGGATGGTGGTTGATACCCCCAATGGTTGTAGAGGCCATGAGGATCCATGTTTCAGAGCTGCACCAACAAAAACATAACACCCAAGTGAAAAGCAAGGGTGGAAAGAAAAGAAAGTGCAATAAATAAAAAGCTAGAGTAACAAATTCTCACGTTTCCCCAATAACCTAGAGGGTCCCCGGCAACGGCGCCAAAAACTTGACACGCTAAAACACAACACCTAACAATGGCCAAGTGTAACCAATGAGAGGGACTGCAGTAACAGGCAAGTTTAATTATCAACCCGGGGTCTAGATCTACTGCTTACTCCGTGATTCTCTATTATCTAGCAAACTAGTTCGAATGATTGTTGTGAAAAGTAAAAAGCAACAAGAAAGCAGTAAATTGTTCGGGTTTCTAAAGCAGGTAAGAGTCACTCGGGATTGAGTCCCCCTAGCCCCTTAGTTAGGTTCAATTGCAATTCCCTGGGTTGATTTACTGTTGATTAGACTGCGGAAGATCCGACAGTAGCTTGGAATCTCTTAAGCTAACCAAGCCCTCTCAGTCTAATTACCCGGCAGACGACTAGTCTTCACCGGGATAGAAAGCTGAGGCTATAAACACAGAACTCCACTACTGGCGTTAAGAACACCCGTACAAAGCAGTAAACTGGCTAACTCTCGTATAACCAATCTCCTACTATCGAATTAAGAGGCTCTAACAACCTAATCAGATTCTATCTATCTCGGGTTGAAGCAGAAATTGAGAAAAGCTGATCAGACTCAAATCAATTCAATAAACATGCGTCATTCGATTAAAATCAAACAGTAATATCATCCCAAGTCATTACAATCAAATCCCTAACACAAGGAATTAGGGTTCTTCATACCCAAGTGAGAGAAGGGTTCTACTCCATAGAGAGAGAAGAGAAAACAAGAATCAGATTAGTCATACTCATAACGATGAGGATAATCTGCTCCGGGACGATGATTTCCACTCCTATGACGATCTCCAGGCTCGATTCGATGAAATCCAGCTCTAGGACAGCTTCTAGGATGTGTTCTTCGCACTTTCTCTCTCTAGGGCTCTGTTTTTGCTCTGAAACACGACTCTCTCACTTTTGGCTCGGATTAGGCTTTAAAACCGGCTTTCCCGAGTTGCACGACCAGGTGCACGGCCGTGCACTACACAATTCTGGTCGTGCACCCTCAAAACGCACCGTATCAATTATTCGGCCTTCATCCACCTTGCACGGCCAGGCGCACGGCCGTGCAATCTTCAGGGTCTGGCCGTGCATGGCCTCGACATGAGGTGCACGGCCAAATGGCTCATGTGCACGGCCGTGCAGCCTCCTGGTCTGCCCGTGCACTCCCCAAAAAGCTCGCCCTTCGTCCGTTCTTCGTCCAATCGACCCCAGACTCGCTCCTAAGCCTTCATTCACGTACTAGGACCTGAAAAACACAAACAAGCACAACCTAGCGTGAAATCGGCCTAAAACACGAGAATCAACACCTCATACGGTGTAAGTATGAGGGTAAAAACATGTGTAAATGACGGTCTATCAATGGCTCATCAAAGCCTGCCAGATGAGCCTACATGCAGCAGCCTCATCACCCTTCCTCCCAAAGTGCTTTGTCGCCCATTGTAACCCAGCTTCCCAATCCCTTACCCTGAAGGTAGTGAACTGGCCAAAAAGTTGTCTGAAAGCTTCCTTGAAGAAGTGACAAGAAGAGAAAATATGATCCCTGCTTTCAGAACACACATCACATAGAACACATGCATCTGAACCCTGACACCCCCATTCTTTCATCCTGTCCTTCTTTTCGATTCTCCCAATGACAATAAGCCAGCATAAAAATCTATTCATAGGGATAGATGGACCTTTCCAGATCAATCCTGCCCAAGGAACCTTAGCTTTCTTCGGCCTGAAGGTTTCCCAGACTTTTTTTATAGAATACCGTGGCATCTCAAGATTATTTCATAACAATGTGCCATTAGACAAGCTGAAAATATTTGGGACCTTACCTTTAATCTTCTGAAGCTTTCTCCAATTCCAGGAGCCAGCAGAACTAGTATATACCCAGAAGTCTCTATCCTTCAACTTGTAAGCATTAATCCATGCCACCCAGATCGACCCGTGATGCATCATGATTGACCAGATTTGCCTGAAAACACAAGCTGTATTCAAGGATCCTAGTTCTCTTACTCCCAGCCCTCCTTCATTTTTTGGGAAAGTAAGATGTTTCCAGGCAATTTTTGCTCTCAACCTGACTCCATCCCCAACTGACCAAAACAATTTGCTGCAAATGTGCTCAACTTCCCTTAAAACTGTCTTAGAAAGGAGAAATACACTCATCCAATATTGAGTCAGACGGTATAGTACTGTGCCAACCAATTCAACTCTACCAGCATACGTAAGGGTTTTTTCCTTCCATCCTTGCACTCTAGCTGTAATCTTATCTGTCAGAGGCTTACAAGCTGCCACAGATAGTTTCCCCGCAACCAGAGGCACACCAAGCACCTAACTGGAAACTTGCCTAAGGAATAACCATATCGACTAGCCATTGCAACCATGTTCTCTTTCTTTAAACCTCCTAGATACAGTTCACATTTACTAGGGTTTGACTTAAGACCAGAGAGCTTATAGAAAGCATTAAGAACCCTCTGAATACTCTGCATACTATAATTAGACCCATCTGAGAAGACCAGAAGGTCATCTTCAAAACACAAGTGGGATAATCCCACTTTCTTGCACATAGGATGATATGGGAAAAAACCTTTTTCAGCAGTTTTATCAAGCAAACATGTAAACACCTCCATGGAAACCGTGAAGAGGTAAGGGGATCCCCTTGCCTCAGTCCCTGCTTAGCTTCAAAATAACCAACCAGCCCTCCATTGAAAGCAACACTAAGCATGGGATGCTCAAAACACATTTGAATCCATTCAACAAATTTGACAGGAAACCCCATTGCTCTAAGGACCCTACCAAGGAAATGCCAATTGATAGAGTCAAAGGCTTTCATCAAGTCAATTTTAAGTGTTGATATACTAGAGATGTTTTTCCTAGCATACTTATGTACCAACTCATGTGCTAAGAGGATGTTCTCCCCAATCACCCTCCCTTTCACAAAAGCAGTTTGATTCTTACTAATAAGGCTATGCAGCAAAGCACTGAGTTCTTACTAATATTGGCAACAATTTGAGAGATACATTTATAGATTATGTTGCAACAAGAAATAGGTCTGAAGTTCTTCATCTCTTATGGATTGGTAACCTTAGCAATTAAAGCTAAGATAGTAGCATTTACCTCCCTCGGTATCTTAGTCTCAGCAAAACAGTGTTGAATTGCAGCTGTGATTTCCTCCCCAACAACTCCCCAGGAAGCCTGAAAGAAGTGTGCATTGTACCCGTCTGGTCCTGGACTCTTGTCAGGGTCCATATGGAAAAGAACATATTTGATCTCGCTAGAAGTAACCGGATCACACAGTCTCTCTATCTGATCAGCAGAAAGGGTTCTCTTGAGTATGTCATCAAAGAAACCCACAGGGACTTCTACCACTTCACTATTTGCACTACCAAGAAACCCTTTGTACAACCCAACAGCCACCTGACTCATATCATCCACCTCAGTAACTCTGTTCCCCGTTGCATCAATCAACGAGGTGATTGTGTTCTTTTTTTGTTGAGTCTTCACAAAAAGATGGAAGTAACTTGAATTAGAATCCCCTGTCTTCAACCACAGTTCCCTTGATTTTTTTCCTTAAGAAAACTTCTTCTTCTTTCATCAAAACAACCAACTCATTTGAGAGTTGACTTTCTTCTTCATAAACAGGGCCCGAAGGATTAACCAGAGCTTCTCTTTGGATATTTTCTAGCTGCATTTCTTTTTCTCGCACCCTTCCCCTTATATCAGAGTATTCTTCTCTATTCAAATTCTTCAACAACCCTTTTATGATTCGAAGCTTCTTATATACCCTAATAAGAGGAGACCCCATAACCTGAGTTCCCCAAGCCTCCATGAGAAGTTTATCAAAGTCAGGATGCTTGAGCCAAAAGTTGAAAAACTTGAATGGTTTTGGCAAAGACTTTAAAGGAACTTCAGTTTGATAAAAGACATGGCAGTGATCAGACACACCAGGCGATAATAGATGTACCTCACTGTCCTTTAACCCCTCCAACCATTTCAGATTAACAAAAGCCCTATCCAGACGACGTGCAATGGGGTTTCGTGTTTGCTTGTTCAACCACGTAAACCGGGGTCTTGTTGCTTTATGCTCCTCAACCTCAATATTATTCAACCACTCATCAAAATCAGCCATACTGGACGAATACTGCGGATCATTTCATCCCTCAACTGGATTCCTTATAGCATTAAAATCACCCATAATGATCCAAGGCATGTGCATAACTCGAATCCTAGTCAGTTGCTCATACATAACTCTTCTCTGCCCTTCTTCATTGAAAGCATAGATGAAAGTTGCAAAATAACGACTACTACCAGCCACCATAATCTAGACAAACTGATCCGATGAAAGTTACATTGTTAATAATTGTCAAAAAAAATTTGATGATTGAATTATAGGTCATTGTTAATGTTATATTATTTACATTGAAAAAGGATGACATCCCATTAACAATAACTTTGCAAACAATCAACAAATGATTTAAGAAGAGGTGATGATGTTTTTGTATCTTGTTAATAATAAATCGAAATGTTTAATGATACCTGGCATAAATGTTGATAAATGATGAGATATTGTTAATAAATGATTTCGTAAATATCCAAAAAATTTATAGTAAATGTTAATAACGATCACTGTATTTTTGTTATGATAATTTGCATAAATGTATTTTAGTTAATAATTGTCAAAAAAATATTTTAATGATTGAATATTGGTCTTTGTTAATGTTATCAAAGAAATCAGTCGCAGACGGGAGTAACATCATACGGGAGCGACACCGGAAGTGGGAGCGACGCCACAGTTAACAACAGTTGAGGGACGTAACATGCCGATGACGGGAGAGGGGAAACGACGGAAGCAGCGCTAGAAGTCGGACCGACGCCGCTGTTATGCTTGTGCGACGAGGAAGAACGTCGAGCGAGGGGTTAGTAGAGCAGAGCTACTGCGCGGCAGGAGAGGGACTAATTAAAAGCAAGCTTCGGATGGGAGAGCAAATCGACGCTGCTGAGTGATGGTGGGAGACGAACCGGATGGGCAATCACCTCAACTGGAGGGATTGTTACTGCTGGCGGGCGTTGAGGGCGAAGGGGGGAGTTGGGGATGGCTGCCGGAAACGATGTACACTGGGTCGGACAGAGATCACTCGTCGGGAGACCTTGAGAGAAGAGTTGAGAGGAAAACGTTCGGCGTAGGAAAGAGTGGGTTAAGAGATTATTGTGGATAATTATTTTAGTTTTATATTACTAATAATTTCCCAAATTACCCTTATTAACTAATTAATGTATAACTCCTTCTTAACTGCCAAAAATCTCCATCCAACCAATCAAAATACTTTAAGATCCTCCACAAGGAATTGGGTTTAAGGACCTAAACTCAGGCCGTAATCTTCACAATAGCTTATTGGTTGTGGTACTTTAAATTGAGATCGGGACCACAAAGCAAATCAATAATAAAATGTTTAGGGGTCTAAGTTTGACCCTTCAAACCCTTTCACCCGCCCTGACCCTGAGGGTCGGACTGGGTCAGCTTATGGTCAAGTCAATTTAGGGTCGGGTCACTTTTTGACCCTATGACCCTTAGCATCATACAAACACGTTGGACATATTTGTAAAATTGTAAAGTTTAGGTACTAAATTCTAAAAAAATTGGGACTTATTTGTAAAAAAATAATATTTAAATACTAAAATGTAAGAAACAATAAATTTGGGTACCAAATTATAATTTTTAGAAAAGTAGTGTATTTATCAGGGTCGACCCACTGACCCGACCCTAAAAGGTTAGACAAGGTCATGAAAGAAATAGGAACGGGACGGGTCAGTTATACATCTTCACCCTTCAGGGGAAGGTCAAATAGGGTCAGGGACGGATCGGGCCAATTTTCAGCACGTTGGGTGCGATTTAGGCACTCTATTTTTATTTT